GGAAATGTGCAACTTGAAACCCTCCTGGCTTTCCTCTAGATAATCTTGAGATTGCAAGGACCACCAGTTCCTGGCAGAAGAGCAGCTGAGACACAACAAGTAACTGAAGTTTCAAGCTTATGTGTTGCTCTTGTGTGACTCAGCCGAGCTGGTGCAGCTCCGAGGTGAGCACTGTGCACATCTCCCAGCGCACTACAGAAGGCCTCAGGGAACAAGGAGCAGCAGGACACCCGGCTCCTTGGGGAGGGGGGCTCAGGAGTCATCCCCCACCCAGCAGCATCCACAAAGCTTCACCTTACAGAGTGCAGGAGGGTGAAGGAACAGTGAACAAAGGCACCGACCATCAGCCAAAGCAGACCTTTAATACCAGTGCAGATGAAGAGAGCAGCCTATGGTTGGTTTGCCAGTAGCAGGATGAAGCACCTGTCTACCACGACCTATGGAAGGGAAGCAGGAGATCTGCTTCAGGCAGGACCTGGACCTGCAGGCACTGACAGGGTGTGTGCAGCTGACCAGACAGTAGCTGAAAACACGACAATAGAGAGCACTTCCCCGTGCCCAGCATTTCAGCATCGCTACTATTTTGGCAAAAGGCACAATCTCCAGGTCTGCTGAGCTGACACTCTTCAGAAAAGGAAGACTGGTCCAGCCAGCAAGTGTGGGTCAGTGTTTCCAAGCCCTCAGGAACACAGAGGAGCTGAAGACCCAGCACCAGCAGGGAAAAGCAAACAGTTGTGTCACAAGTGGGGAGGCAGCTCAGATGGTTCGGCAGATTTGTAAAGACTCAGAGGAGGGGAGGCAGGGGTGGATGAGACCAAGAACGCAACTGGACGCTGAAGCATACTGGTCTAATTAAATCACGGCTCTAGTGCTTGCTTTCCTCTCAACCACCACAAGATATTTTAACACAAGATAGGATGCCAGAAAACCACTGAGATCTGCCTTCTATAAAGCACAAGGAACATCTCAAAACAGGCTTCTGTATAGAATACATTCACTAACCCTCCCTGAGAAACAATTACATCTTGCAAGGACAGGCCAATTTGTAGAGAAAAGGATCCCACATGTGATTAAGGGCAGGCAACAATCTCGATGCAGCAAGATGTGGTGTAACTGTTGTCCTGAGTGAAATCAAAGTATATTATCTCAAATTTCCAAGTGTTAGACACTGACTCATGCAGTCTACTCCCAAGAGGTACAAAAACAGCTTATAGAGGGCTAAAAAGGTTTACCAGACTCAATTTCTGACAGCAGGGAAACAGGACCCTCAAATGTATTTTCTTTTGAAATGCACAGCAGCATAATAGAAGAGATAGAGATCCACAGCCCTGATAGAAGATCTGCAGAGAATAATACTGAGAGTTGCTTATACCCAAGTCAGTGTCAGCAGCTTCAACAACTCCCTTTTGAAAAGGCTTTTTTTTTTTTGCCCCTCACTTCTGCACCCTAGTAACACCAGTAGTCCTTACATTCAGTACTGGATAATTATGACCAGCCTCAGTTAATCTGCATATTTGCTCCGCCCAGGTTACACTGTCCCCAGAAAGGCTTTCCCAGTATCTCTAAGTCAAAGTAACAACACAGGCTGCAAAGCAATTTTCTCTTTATCAACTAGCATATGCTGCCCAGCAGGACGCAATCCACCTGAGCACATAAGCAACAAAAACCAGCAGAAAATAACCCCCAAAAGACAGAAATACAAAACCCTTTCACCCCAAGTCTGACAAAAAAGCAACACCCCGAAAACACATAGAAATAACACTTTATTCTCAGGAAAAAAGGTAATGCCTGTGCAAAAAGCAGAAAAATCATATGACTTGCTGTGACACTGTCCACCCGACACTTGACAGAAATCCGTGGGCTTTGGCCCTCACAGCCTTGTTTCAGAAAAAACACTTGAGCAGTCTTGCCCAGCACCAAACCTGACTCAAACGCAGAGGCTGAGGACAAACTTACCCCTTCCACCAGCAGCACTGGTCAGCAGAAGCAGAGCTGCTACCTTCTGTTCTCTGCACTCAGAGGAGACACACCACCAGGACCAACATCCGTGGTGAGAGAGACTATTCATGTCCTGATTTGTACTTGAGACAAAGACTTGAGTCTAGACTACCTTTGCCCAAGGGGAAGAGAGAGGTGGGGAGAAGTATGGAAGACCACATAGTTGTCTTTAGATGACCTGTGCAGGTCAAGGTCCTGTGCAGCCTGCTGTAGGTGACCCTGCTTCGGCAGGAGGGCTGGACTAGATGATCCACAGAGGTCCCTTCCAACCCCGAACATTATGTGATTCTGTGACCTGGTCCTTTCAAGGGCTCCAGGGAAGGTTCCACCTCCACTTGCTTTCCTCTAGGGCATGGCTTCACTAGAGGTTCTTCAGACCTTTTGGCTCAGCTAGATACATTGGGAAGCGGCTGCCAAACCCAGAACTGCCTGGCACGATCATTGCTCTTAGTTTAGAAGGATTTAAGACATAAAAAGAAGAACAAAGGAAATCTTCATGCCAGCCAAGTCAGGAGACTGAGACACAGCTCTACAGGGAGAGCCAAGAGACTACCAGCTTCAGCCCTGATGAGAACCAAGGCATCCTTCCACAGAAGCCTGGAGAAGGAGTGAAGGGTCTGCAAGCAGCTATGGCCTGCAGAGCCTGAGAAAGTGGGGGTATTGACTGAACTGTTCATTAAATGGATGCAGCTTTGGGAATAGAGTATGATAGAGAAAGAACACCAATGTACAAGTTACACGTTTCACCTGGTGAAAGCATACTTAACACAACAGAAGTTCAGAGAGATTATAAAAGCAGAAACCGGGAGGGGGAATGCAATTAAGAAACATTTGCCAGATCTCTTGGTTTACAAAATTGTACCGGAATCAGCACTGACCTTTCCAGCACATGTACTATAAAAAACCCCAAGATTATGCAATTCCAGGCACAGGTGAAGTCCAGGTGTCTGGATGCTTCTCCTAGCACCAGCCAAAAGCACGGAGGTTGGTGCAGTGCCATGGCACAAAATGCAACACAGCCAGCAGAACTAAAACTGGAACGAGGTCTTACCAAAGTCCATGCGGTCCTTATAATTACGCTGCAAAAGACCCAGCAGCAGCTGCCTCAGGTGGCTTGATGTCTCCCTGGGGATGCTAGGATTGAAAACAAAAACAAAGTAAGAGAGACTTGCAGTCTGCTTAAACTGCTTTTACATATTCAGGAAGGCAACCTGCAAATGCAAACTCACTTTGTGCCTGCTGGGCTAGGAACATAAGAGCAGCTCACTGCAGAGAGGCTGAAACATCTCTGTTTGCATCTCTGTTTGGCTTTTACTCCCCGTTATCGTTAAGGCTGCAGCTAATCTAGCTTTAGGGCCTCTGCCTCTCCTTTCCACCACAGTGCCAATGTCATCCCTCCAGTTCCCAGCTAAGTCCATTCAACGTGCAATATTTTGCACACAATAAATCAAATCTCTTCTACTTGCTCTAACGGGAATAAACAGCTCATTAAAATAAAGCAGTTACCATGGGGAAGCTTCCAGTTAAGACACTGGTGGTAAAATGTATCACCAGTTACTACCATTGTATTAAGGCATCTCTTCTTCAATGCAGCTTACGTCAGATGACAAGCAAGTAGCCTTTGTCGATTTGCTTCCTTGATATACAGCATTTATTAATTGAAGGCCACTAAGATGTGAGCGACTACCACCCAAGCAAGCTGAACTAGGACAGCTATTACGCCACTTTCCAGTACAGCTAGGAAGAAAATACCCTTTTCTATGGCCACTGCAGCACACAAGAGCCAGTAAATCACTGCGCTCTGCCTCACCCCACAAGCAGATGCAGGCAAGGCCAAGGCAGCTCTTCGCAAGCCCAGTAGATTGCAAGAAGCAGGGAATAAATGAACGGATTAAGGCAGGGAAAGCATAGTTCAGCTCTTGCGTAAGTGGATTCAGCTCTGCTGACTTTCCTCAGCAACCAGCAGCGCTGTCGGGGGCTGCCGCGGCCA